AGCATGTACTTGCCTAATATTTTAAGTTGAATATTATACATACATGACAACAATATTGTATGGCTCATAATATTGAAACATCGTATATATTAATATAGGTACAAAAAGTATGCTTTCTGAAAAAATATTTAATAGTGCGCAATAAATCAGTTAGGGAACGTAGTGAAGGTGCGCATTACGGAGTCTAACCGGATTCTGGCACTTTAGTGCCCAAGCTCAGTTATTCCGTATTTTCGAATATATTACGCAGTACCGTCGCAGCTGACAATGATTCGGCGTATACATACGTATGGTGGTAATAGTTGTGCTGATACCGCGGTAACTGATGACACTAAGTTGGTACATAGGTACCTAAAGGTAGCGGGTCACCACAAGGGTAACATAATATTGTATTATATCGGTAAATATTTGAGCGGTATACGCCAAAAGCGGTGGCAGAGTTTGTGATGGCGTCCGACTATAGGGAACCTAACCTTACGGTACAGCCTGCGCGGGTGGCCTATCAGTGGCCGAGATCGGCCAGCGCTGAAACACAAGACGTGGTGGCCCTCGTTTTCGTAGAACACTGCCCCACCAAGATCGCCGTTCGCGTAAATTGGGTGGCGAACACCCGAGCCTCCACCAAACCTCAAACACGTTCCATCGCAACAGCGGTTACCGGTTCACACAAATTCTACGGCGCACCGGTCAACGTTCCATTCGTGTATTCCCGCCAATACCACCGCCGATGCCACAGAGCTGTTCATGTCCACCACTCACCGTCGACCACGTCCAATATTATATTATATTTTGTACGACAACAACAACAACAACAACAACAACAATACCACCACCACCACCACCACCGCCACCACTACCACCACAACCACCACCACCACCACCACCACCACCACCAACAACAACAACGACTACAACAATAATTAATAATAATAATATTTTATACGTCGACCTCGCCAATGCATACAGTGCAGCACAATGTACGGTATTCCAACGCAAAAACTGATTCCGTTTATTTTATAAAATCTACGGCAAAAACATAATTTGTTTTGTTAATTTGAAAATTTAAAAACATAATTTAGTTTTTTTAATACTAAAATGGTTGCTTATATTTGCATATTCTATACACAATAAAATTTTCGAAATATTATGATTTGTTTTGAACTGTTTGGGAACATTTTTATTTTCCATTTTTTTTTTAGTTTTTTTTTTCTAAAAATATCAATAAAATTTTATTTGATGGTTAAAAAAACTTGAAAATTTAATAGAAAGTTCTTAGTACATGGTTTCAAAGGCAGATGAAAAATATTAAAAATCCTTAGTCACAGTTTTTTTTTATGAGCATTTAAATTTCAAAAATTGACAAAATACGTAAAAATGACGAAAATTTGAAAATTATTTTGAGTTAGAAATTCATAAAAAATTTTCTTTTTATATCTATGATATGAAAATGTAATACAAGATTCCTCATAAGTAAAGACCGGATTTATATGTTTTTACATATCGTTACTGGGTCTATGCAGTCTTATGAGAGTAAAAATGTGGACGATTCGTTCAGTTCTGAATGCGTAGAAAAAAGTTTTTTTTGCATATTTTAATATTACGGTACTCTGAAAAAATTTTTTGACCATTTACAATTTATTTATTTATTTTTTCATTTTGATAAAAATAAAACAAGCAGTATTATCAAGGTTTATCTATGTATATCTACTGATAAGATCAACTTATAAGTTTATCAAATATTCAAATATCAAAATTTTGTCTTTGTGTTTTAATATTATACTGTTATATTTATATTATATTCCAACTTCCTACTCTTGCTAAAATGCAATACTATTCCATTACTCTATACGCAACTCTTAATACCAAATTAATATCTCGCTATAAAATATAGTTGAAAAAATTTTTAAAAAATAAATGCATATTAAAGCATATAATGATGTTTTTTGATTATTTTTGCATATTTTAGCATATTTTTTAAATTTTTGAGAGAATATAATGAGAATATTTGAAGGGTTTTTAGAGAATATTAGCATCATATTTTCGGTATTTTAAGAGAATATAAATCCGGTCTTTACTCATAAGTTTGTCTACCTTTATCAAAAAGAAAAATGTAAATTTTGATGAGTGTTTGAAATTCATATTTTTACAACTTTTGATATTCACTCGATTTTTCATGGAACAATTTTCTTATTTATTGTAATTAAAAAACGAATGTCTGTAAATACTTAAAAATTTCACTGAATGAAAAAATACAAAATTCAAAATTATATTGGCATTTTCTATACACGATACAATTTTCAAAATATTTTGACTCTTTTTGAGGTGTTAACGGACATTTTCAGTTTTAAAAATTGTTTTGGTTTTTTTTTCTATAATTATCAATAAAATGTTAATTTGTTATGTAAAAAAGCGTTAAAATTTAATTCGAAGCTCCTGATATATTGTTACAATAGCAATTGAAAAACATTAAAAATACATAGGCACAATTTTTTTTTAAAAGCATTTAAAGTACAAATTTTGACAACATTTATCACATTTAAAATTTATCAATAATTTTGCAGTTAAAAATGTATAAAATGTTCAACTTCTACAACTATTAATTGAAAATTTAAAACAAGATTCTACGTAAATAGCTTATGAATAAATTACTTTATTCACTTTAGTATCATCGAATATATTTCGTAATATCATAAGCATGACTACCGTTTTCGCTCAGAATCGTTTTCCTTATACAATGATATTATATCATTGAATTTAAATTTAATAAAATCCATTATACAGTGACCCACTTGTAACCTACTGTACAGCAGAGCGACTTTTTTTATTGTTTTGTCGTGCGTTTTTGAAAACTTTTGTGAATTTAATATACTATATTACTTTTGACTCCCCCAAAGTACCAACTAGATTCACTTTCCTATCGAACAAGATTCTGTTGAAGTAAATCGAAGCAGTTTTACTGCCCAAAATGTGGTGAGTATTGATAGACACAAAAATAAAAATAATTTTAAAATTAAAAATTAAAAAATAAAACACACATCATTGTAAAATTAATAGAATTTAAAAATCATTTTATGTTAGGAATGCTAAAATTTAATTGTGAGTGTTTTAAGTATATAAATGTTTAAATAATAAAAAAAAGGTGGGCAAGTGAGTGTCACTGTGCCGTACAATAGGTTACAAGTGGGTCATGGATGATATTAAATTTGAATTCAACGATATATTATCATTGTATAAGAAAAACGATTCTGAGCGGAGACGGTATGTCAGTGTAGGTATAAGACATATTATATACTTATCTATGGTATTAAAAAAAACTGACCTATAACAGGTATCTTTACTACCTATAATAAATTCCAAATTAATCATATCACAATATCTATTAGGTACTTATAACGCGTTATACATCAACAAAAACCGTGATACTATCATAGATATATAATAGTACACTTTAGAAGTTTCAAGTACCCACGAATAATATTATTCAATCACAACAAAATAACTAAAATAGTTATTCAAGGTTTTTAATATGTAACTTGGTCCAAATTTGAATTTAAAATGTCTGTAAAAAATAACTGTGTTCATATATTTTTTAGATTTTTGGTTACAGTATGAAATATTTATGAGAACCTTTGTTTTAAATTTGCAATCCTTAGCTATAAAAACTGAACATTTTATAATTTATTAATTACAATGATTGATAATTTTCGAGATTTTGATACATTTTGTCAAAATTCCAACTTTAAATGCTTATAAAAAAAAATCGTGCATATGTATTTTCAATGTTTTTGAACTAATATTGTAACAATATATCAGGAGTCTTGTATTACATTTTTACACTTTTTGGCCCAACAGATAAAACTTTATTTATATTTATAGAAAAAAAAAACTAAAAAAATTGAAAACTGTAATTTTTTTTTTTTTTTTTTTTTTTTTTATTTATTATAATCAACGCCAGACGGCTTTTACAAAATAACAGACAAGAAGAACATAGATAACAGTATGAAACATATACAATATATGTAAGATGCATAACTTATACTAAATTAATTATAGAGAGAAGAAAAAGAATTAGTAAGTAATTAAAACAAAAAAACAATGTGGTGTAAGTAATGTAAAAAAAAAAAAATAAAAAAAATAAAAAAAAATGTGAGCCTTCGTACTACATATGGCTTAATAGTCTATATGATTATTTGCATTATGCATCATTCGTATAAGTGGGGCATTCCTGGAGAAGTTTGATTTATTGGTGGGTATATAAAAATTACATTGAAGCCTAGTGTTACTAGGAATACGAAAGCTAAGTTCTCCAAGTAGTCTTGGGGCATCAACTTGACCTTCGATCAGACGCTGAATAAAAGTGATATCAAAATTATCACGCCTTACAGAAAGGGGAACTAGTCTCAGAGCTTGACTTAATGGCCCATAATCATGTGGTGGATGAGGAATGTTGAGGCAATAACCGGCGAAACGCATAAAACTGTTTTGTACACGATCAATCCGACAAATGTCAACTGTGGTATATGGTGACCAAACAATAGACCCATATTCAATGACCGAACGGACTAAAGCATTATAGAGAGCTAGAAGGCAATTGGCAGAACTAAAATTGGTTGAGTGACGCCTTATGAAACCCAAAGCTCGAAAGGCTTTGCTGGTCATATAATCAATATGAGGGCTAAAATTAAGAGAAGGTACAAATAAAATGCCTAAATCATGGACCTGGCTAACACGTTGAATAGATATACCATCAAGCCTATAGTCAAAAGATATCACTGCATTAGAGCGATAGAAAGTCATAACTTTACATTTAGAGATGTTAAGAGATAAATTAAACGTACTACACCAATTGGTGAATTTATCAAGGGTGTTTTGGAGAGTGAGGCAATCATTGTTTGAGGTAATCGTGTGAAAAATTTTAGAATCATCAGCAAAAAGTAAGAAACGACAAGGGGAAACAACTGAGCACATAGTATTAATGAAAATATTAAATAATAAAGGACCTAAATGGCTACCTTGTGGAACACCGGACGATGCACGGAAGAGATCAGATGTCTTCCCGAAAAGGCTGACAAATTGTCGACGGTCACTAAGGTAAGATCTAAACCATGATAAAAGTGGCTCACCAACACCAAGTCTGTCGAGGATATAAAGAAGTGCATTGTGGTCTAAGGAGTCGAACGCTTTAGAAAAGTCCGTGTATATCACATCAACTTGATTACCTAATTCAAACGCCGCGTGAAGGTAAGAAGCGAAAACTACATGACTAGTCGCAGTCGAGCGACCAGGAAAGAACCCGTGTTGGTCAATTGATAAAGTGGTTAAGAAAGAACGTTTGATTCGTTTCAGTACTATAGACTCAAACAGTTTACCTAGTAGAGGAAGGCCGGAGATGGGTCTATAGTTAGCGACATCAGCCGGATTCCCAGATTTGAAAATTGGCGTAACACGACTTATTTTCCACGCAGAAGGGAAAACACCTTCTGTAAGTGATTTATTAAAAATTAAAGTGACCGGTAAACTGAGAGAGGCACGGCAGTGATACAATAGGTTAGCAGAAATGCCATCCGGGCCCGAACTGTGAACATTTGAAAGAGAGTTAAGCGCTATATTAACTTCATCAATCGATATAGATAATTTAGAAGGAAGGTGTGAAAATTGGTTGTTTGTAAACTCATCTGATAAATTATTGCAGGTAAATCGTGAGTCACCATAAACAGATGAGAAATGAGAAGCAAACAAAGAAGCAACTTGGTCACTGGAGGCCTTAGACTCCCCAAGATGAACCTCATCTGGTATTGTAGAGACACCACGTTTACTACGAACAAATTTCCAAAATGATTTAGGATCTACACATAGACGATTCTGTATGTTACGCAAATAGTGACTATAGAGACACTTCGATTCAAATTTACATTGGGCGCGTAGTTGAGAGAAGATTAAATAACGATTAAGACCACCTAACATTTTATATTGTTTATGCGATTGTTTCTTCATAGCGAGAAGTTTCTTAAGCTTACTTGAGACCCATATAGGAAAAGTAGAGTTTCGAAAGTTTCGTAATGGAACGCATTCACGAATACAATCAAGCAATGATTTCTGTAAAAAATCAGCAGAAAGGTCTGCGGATCTTGAATCTAAGGCGTTATACCAATCAATGCTCTCAAGTCTATGAATAATCGTCTCGTAGTTAGCATTTTTAAAATCATAATATGTGTGTTGAGCGTCAAGCATTGGAGGGTCTGAAGGAAATGGACAGGAAATAGATAGTGCTGGGTGGTAAATGTCACATGGAACTAATAAATCTGTAGCCTGCTGGACTAAGGTGGATTCATTACTAGAGAAAATTAGGTCAAGAAGAGATCCAGAGTTATTGAGAATTTGGTTTTTTTGGACGAAGTGAAGGAAACTAAACTGATCACCAATAAGACGGACCTTATCAGTTATATTACCTGTATAGACAAGACCCGAATCACAGACGGACCACTCAACATTGGGCATATTGAAGTCACCACATACCAAACCAAGATTAAAATTATAAGATCTCCATACCCGGTCTAAGGCTTCAACATGACTCTCATACACAGACAAATTTGTACCAGGAGGTAAATATACTCCAGCTAAAAATACAGAGAGACCACTGGCTAGAGTGAGGCGAACAAAAACTTGCTCACAAGTGTCAAATGCAGTCGTAATTAAGGTTGGTCTTAGCTCTTTCTTGACAGCAATTAATGAACCTCCTCCTCGACGACAATTACTTGTGCGTACATTCCTGTCACACCTAAAGATTAAATACCCATCAAAACATAATTCAGAATTAGAGATGTCATCCGAAAGCCAAGTCTCAGTGAGAATATAAGCATCATAAGATAATAAAATAAAATTAGTTCGGAGATTAAACAATTTACTACGAAGGCCACGTACATTTTGGTAGTAAAATTTTAAAACAATGATCAATATTAGGCATAACATTAAAATTATTAAACTTAGGGTAGGGTTTAGAAGAAAAGTTAGTTTTAATATTATTAAATTTAGATAAAAATGAGTTAAAGGTAGAATGAGAAAAACGGCAAAAGGTACAAAAAATATTATTTTTACAATAAACATGCAAACCAGAGTTGAAATCAGGAACTAATGAAAATGTTGAGTGGAACTCGGTTGATGATTGCTTCCTCCTCTGGGGTTCATGTTTTTTGGACCGGCTTTAATCACTGAAGGTACACCATTGACATACGAAATAGTAAAATCAGAAGAGCCACTTTCGATTTTACGTTGCAGATCGGAATGAGCTTTACGCAAAAGTTCCCGTTCAAGCGTGGTTTTGTCCCGAACAATGCGAAAACCAGGTTCTGGTAATAATCCATTCCGCGTTTGTGAATTAAAATTTAAAATGAGTTGAGAAGCATCGGCCATGGATTGGCAGATTACCTTCAAAGGTCTCGGTTTCTTCGCATTACTATTGCCTAGGCGTATTAGCTTAAGATTGGTTGGTACAGGTATAGTTATTTGTTCAAGAAGATTGCTAAGTGTACGTAGATCATCATTAACTCTTAAAGCAGCGGTGTTGGCAGCGGACTCAGGCACTCCATATGCAATTGCATTAAATACAATTTTGCTTCGTTCAGTAGATTCACGAAAAATCACTGAAGACGAATCGATAGAGGGGACCGGACGTGATTCCAAAACATCAATTCTTGAACGAAGAACACCAATTTCAGCCCGGAAAGAAGCATTATCAGTAACCAGATCTGCTACTTGGGAAGTGAGTGTCGAAATGCTACTTTTAAGTTCACTAAACTGCGACGATTGCGAAGTAGAGAGCGATTCGATTGCCTTCAAAATGTCAGTGGTAGAAGGAGGTTTCTGAGCCTGTGCACGAGTATTTGAAGCCACGGAAGAGGGTGTTAAAGGCATAATTTGATGCAATAGAATTGAAAAAAGAAATATATAAAAATACTTAAAAATAACTCCTTAAGACAAGAGCATACAACACAAAGTACAGTAATGTAGTACAGCATGCAAGCTAAATCGGAGTTGAAACACAGGTGGATAGTGAAAAAGCCCAGCGTTAAAGTCACCGAAAAACAGCTGACTGGTTTGTTGATAAGGTGGTAGTTGACAGTTCCCAAGTGATAAGAACGTACCTGATGTACACAAGCTGGCAGATGCAGTTTCTTTTGCACGATACTTCTTCTAGTTACTAGTTAATCTGTCGAGATGAAGCTTGAAAACATGTGTAGGTGGAAAAGGCACAAAGACGAAACGAATAAAAGCGACCGCAAAAAAAAAGAGGTACTTACAAATGAAAAAATAAAAAAACCGGTAAGAGCGAAGTGTTATCACTGTTATCACTGTAATATGTTGACCGTAAACCGCTCAAAAAGAGTCAAAATACTTTCAAAATTGTATGATGAATAGGAAATGTTAATATAAATATTTAGTGAAAGTTTTATGTATCTACAGTTATTTGTTTTTGAATTAAATCAAAATAAATAAATCGCTACATGAGAAATCGAGTGAATATCCTACGTAGTAAAAATTTGAATTTCAAACGCTCATAAAAATTTAATTTGACTGTCTTATAGACATTTTTTTTTTTTGATAAAGGTAGATAATCTTATTAGGAATCTTGTATTACATTTTAAAACCTTAGATTTAAAAAGAAAAATTTTTACGAGTTTTTAACTCAAAATAATTTGCTAATTTTCGTGATTTTTCCATATTTTGTCAATTTTTGAACTTTAAATGCTTATAAAAAAAAACCGTGACTAAGGAATTTTAATATTTTTCATCTGCCTTTGAAACAATATACTGGGAGCCTTCTATTAAATTTTCAAGCTTTTTTAACCAAAAAACACTAAAAAAAATGGAAAATGAAAATGTCCCTAAACAGTTCAAAATAAATCAAAATATTTTGTAAATGTTATCATTTATAGAAAATGCAAATATAAACAATCAGTGAAAATTTCATGTATCTACGGTCATTTTTTTTAATGTTACACCAAAAAAAAAATTCAATATTGTGAAAAATCGATTTTGCGTAAAAATTCCTGTTTTTCATTAATTTTTCTTTGGTTTTTCTTTGCGCTTTTGAAAATGACTGGGAATTTTAAATTTTGACCTTCCCAATTCACCAACGTTATTCACTTTCCAATCGAACAAGATACTGAAGTTGAAAATTGAAGCATTATTTCGACAACTTATCGTGTACACAGACACAAAAAAAATTAAAAAAGTAAAAAAAAACACACATCATTGTAAAATCAAGACATTCATCGTTCCACTCAGAGTCTAAAAGGTGTGTCAGTGGATGTTACTCTCCTGTACAGTAGGTTACAAGTAGGTCACTGTAATGGACTGTGTTAACCGTATAATATCATTGCATAAGAAAAACGATTCTGAGCGAAAACGGTCAGTCAGCCTATGATATTACTAAAGTATATTTGATGATATTATTGTGAATAAAGTAATTTATACATAACCTATTTACGTGGAATCTTGTTTTAAATTTTCAATCCTTAGCTATAAAAGTTGAACCTTTTACATATTTTTAACTACAAAATAATTATCACATTTTAAATTTTATACATTTTGTCATAAATTGAACTTTAAATACTTATAAAAAAAAATTGTGCATATGTATTTTTAATATTTTTTAACTGCTATTGTAACGATATATCAGGATTCTTGCATACAATTTTCAAGTTTTTTACCTAACAAATACAATTTTTTTGATATTTATACAAAAAAAAGACTAAATTGGAAACTGGAAATGTTCCTAAACAGTTCAAAACAAATCAAAATATTTTGAAAATTCTATCGTGTATAGAAAATGCAAACGAGTATAAACTACCAGTGGACATTTTATGTGTATACGTTCATCTGTTTTAGAGTTGCACCAAAAACCAAAATCGATTTTCTCAAAAACAAATTTCAAGTATAAATTCTCGTTTTTCCTTCATTTTTCTTTTTTTTTCAAGTCGCTTTTGAAAACTACTGTGAAATTTTTACTTTTGACCCCCCCCCCCCCCCAAAGTATAACTAGATCCACTTCCTATCAGAAAATATACTGTTAAAGAAAATATAAGCATTTTTACTGTCCTAAAAGGTGATGACAGACACCAAAAAAAAAAAAAAAATAGAACAAAAAAAAAAAACACACATCATTTGTAAAATCATTAAATAATTCATCGCTATCACGTATCAACTAAATACACTAATTTGACTAGAATAAGACGTTCGACGGACGTGTCCTGATATTCATAAACAAATCAAATAAAATGTCATAACATTAATTATAATAATTATAAAACATAGATAGTGTGTTGGACGATGCTGTGACCTTAGGATGCGCTGAATCCGTTTTTGTATGTGAGACGGATCACTGTCTCGACAACACACAAACCCGAATCAGTCAGTCGTAGTATTACCAGCAACACTGGTCCAGTGTTAGATCAACAATTTTTATCTCTAATTATAATTTTTAACTACCAATTTTATTACAAATACATTATTATAATAGCATTGCTAAGTATAATTGTAACTTTTGTGCAAATAACTGCCTCTTGTAAAATACGAACGATACCTACCTACATAGATTTACTTATTTACATTTATATTTTTCAACACCTTTTATACTTTTTACAATACAATATAGTCAAATACCTATAGTGAACGTCAAACTACTAAATAAAGTAAGTACTAATTCAATAGTTCATGTTGATTTTTTTTTTCTATTATTAATACTATTAAAATTGTATTGAATGTTCATCATAGTATTACAATGAAAATGGATGTCTGGAACGTTGTTTGTCTTACCGTGCTATTGCAGTTTCTATTGATCAATCGTATTGTTTCCAGTAAAAATCAAAAAGATGCATTTTTCAACCTCACTCTTACCACCAATAGTCCGGGATTACAGTACGAGATATTAGGGGAAGGTAAATTGTGTAAAAGTAGTTGGACCATAAATACATTCATAGATTTAAGATATTTAACAAATAGCCTTAGTGATATAAGGATTATGTTAAGAACAATTGACCCATACGTAATTAACAACTCTCACCAAATAACTGTAAATCACATAGAGAAGCGTGTAAAAAAAATAAATTTAGATATAAAGGTAATTAGACAAATGGCTAAAATGGTTAAGCGATCATTTGAGTCTGAAGGTTCGGCACTACAGTGGATTTTCGGTATTGCCAATGCTGCAGACGATGTACGAAGGTATGATAGTTCGATAAAAAATTTAGAAAATGATCACAAAGATATGATACATATAGTTCAAGACCAAGTCTCTATTTTAAAGAGTACAATAACAAATTTCAATGAAACCATAACAACATTTAATGACAATAGATTATTATTTGACAAAAATATTAAAAAAATCAACAACACTAATAACATTAAAAATAATCAATCAGTAGACGAACAAAAACAAATTATTGTTCCAAGATTAATATCCCTAATTGAAAATAATATATTTGAATTAGATATATTTGTAACGAGATTACAAAGAATGATATCAAACGTTCAAACAAATAAATTAGATGTTTTTATAATTACACCAGATCAGTTGTTGTCAGAAATAAAACAAATTGAAAATATGTTACCCGAAAATTTACAAATCCCTATCAAATTTAATGAAAATAATATACAAGAAGTATACAAAATATTGCACATAGACCTTCACCCAATGAACGGTAAAATAATTTTTTCAATAAAAATTCCACTGTGTTTCACCGAAATTTTCAAATTGTATTATATTGTACCAATATATATACCAATCAATAGACACGGACAATTCATACATATCATTGAAAATCCAACGTACTTATTAACAGACGATGTGGTGGCAAAATATTTTATTTGGTCAGATATCAATAACTGTTTAAGAGTTGCCGACATTTTTGTTTGTGGTTTCAATGAAATGGTACACAATGGTGATACTGATCCCACTTGTGTAACGGAAATGTTAAAAAATGCTTCAACTAAACCTAAGCAATGTGATACTTATATAACGGAGTTCCAAAAAGAATTATGGTACCCATCGTTTTTCAAAAATAATTGGTACTTTGTATGTGAAAAGCCTTCTACAATTACAATAACTTGTAATAATCGGTCTTTTGTTCGTAAAATTATATTAAAAAGTTCTGGTACATTATTTCTGAAAGCTGGGTGCCAAGCTAATACAACTAAAGGAGTATTAATAACAGAGCAAACAGGAAAATCGTCTTTTGCAACACTGCCTTTAGGGTTAAGTATTTTGAATGATTCATGTTGCAATATTACACTCAATCAACGCTACCCGAAACCCATTCATTTAGATGAAATAAAAAATTTAAAATTTGACAAAAAAGATTTTATAAAAATTATTTCAAAATTAAACACAAAAGATAAATCACAAAATGCAATATTCTTAAATAAGACGTATGAATTTGTATATACGAACAAATATTTTCTCATTATAATGGTTGTTATAATATTATACTTCAGTATAAAATTCTGTATAAAAAAAAAAAAAAATACTTCAGCTTTAGAAAATATAAATTTAGGCTATTGTCCTGTGCCCATTGCTCTACCAAAACAATAATAAACTTTATTCTACAATTTATAATTACATTTTAATATTTTATACATGTAAATTTAAATCTCTTGTGCATTTTTTCATACTAAGTAGTTATACTTTATTTTTTAAGAATACATATTTTGTTATTATAACCAATTGTTAAATATAAGTCTTAGAAATTTAAATTATGATTTATGTGTATTTTATATTTTAACACTTATATTATATCGTTACTTGTTCAATTAATAATTATATAATTATAATATGACATTAAGTTCGTAAATCGTAATAATTAAATATTTGTAATGTGTGTACAATACCTATATTATTATAACATATTATGTAC